TTGAGTAAACAAATATGTTTTAAGTCTAGACTTAAACACTGAGACTGTGTCTGAGTCCCGAACACTAATAGGAAGACTGTTCCATAACTGTGGGGCTCTATAAGCGAAGGCTCTTCCCCCTGCTGAAGACTTCACTATTCTAGGTAATATCAAATAGCCTGCACCTTTTGATCTGAGTAGGCGTGGTGGATCATATAAAACCAGGAGGTCGCTTAGATATTGTGGTGCAAGACAGTGTAGTGCTTTATAGGTTAATAAAAGTATTTTAAACTTAATGCGAGATTTTACAGGGAGCCAATGCAGTGTGGATAAGATCAGGGTGATGTGATCGTATCTTCTAGTTCTAGAAAGGACTCTAGCAGCTGCATTCTGGACTAACTGGAGTTTATTTAAATTCCTACTGGAACATCCAAACAGTAAGGCATTACAGTAATCTAATCTAGAGGTGACAAATGCATGAACCAGTATTTCTGCATCATGTAGTGACAATATGTTTCTTATCTTAGAAATATTTCTGAGATGAAAGAAAGCTATCCTAGTAATATTATCTACATGAGCATCAAATGATAGGCTGGAGTCAATAATCACTCCGAGGTCTTTAACTGCTGCACATGATGAAAAAGAAAGACCATCCAGAGTTACTGTGTAGTCAGGAAGATTACTTCTAGCTACACGTGGGCCTAATAAAAGTATTTGTTTTATCAGAATTAAGTAGGAGGAAGTTAGTTAACATCCAACGTCTAATGTCCTTTACACAATCCTCAACTTTACTAAGCTTCTGTCTGTCCTCTGGCTTTGCTGACACATACAGCTGTGTATCATCAGCATAACAGTGGAAGCTAATTCCATGTTTACGAATTATTTGTCCTAGGGGTAACATACAGTGCCTTGCGAAAGTATTCGGCCCCCTTGAACTTTTCAACCTTTTGCCACATTTCAGGCTTCAAACATAAAGATATAAATTTTTTATTTTTTGTGAAGAATCACCAACAAGTGGGACACAATTGTGAAGTGGAACGAAATCTATTGGATTTTTGAAACTTTTTTAACTAATAAAAAAATTAAAAGTGGTGCTTGCAAAATTATTCGGCCCCCCTGCGTTAATACTTTGTAGAGCCACCTTTTGCTGCGATTACAGCTGCAAGTCGCTTGGGGTATGTCTCTATCAGTTTTGCACATCGAGAGACTGAAATTCTTGCCCATTCTTCCTTGCAAAACAGCTCGAGCTCAGTGAGGTTGGATAGAGAGCGTTTGTGAACAGCAGTTTTAGCTCTTTCCACAGATTCTCGATTGGATTCAGGTCTGGACTTTGACTTGGCCATTCTAACACCTGGATACGTTTATTTGTGAACCATTCCTTTGTAGATTTTGCTGTATGTTTGGGATCATTGTCTTGTTGGAAGATAAATCTCCGTCCCAGTTTCAGGTCTTTTGCAGACTCCAACAGGTTTTCATCCAGAATGGTCCTATATTTGGCTGCATCCATCTTCCCCTCAATTTTAACCATCTTCCCTGTCCCTGCTGAAGAAAAGCAGGCCCAAACCATGATGCTGCCACCACCATGTTTGACAGTGGGGATGGTGTGTTGAGGGTGATGAGCTGTGTTGCTTTTACGCCAAACATATCATTTTGCATTGTGGGCAAAAAGTTTGATTTTGGTTTCATCTGACCAGAGCACCTTCTTCCACATGTTTGGTGTGTCTCCCAGGTGGCTTGTGGTAAACTTTAGACGAGACTTTTTATGGATATTATTGGGAAATGTCTTTCTTCTTGCCACTCTTCCATAAAGGCCAGATTTGTGCAGTGTACGACTGATTGTTGTCCTATGGACAGACTCTCCCACCTCAGCTGTAGTTCTCTGCAGTTCATCCAGAGTGATCATGGGCCTCTTGGCTGCATCTCTGATCAGTCTTCTCCTTGTCTGAGCTGAAGGTTTAGAGGGACGGCCAGGTCTTGGTAGATTTGCAGTGGTCTGATACTCCTTCCATTTCAAAATGATCGCTTGCACAGTGCTCCTTGGGATGTTTAAAGCTTGGGAAATCTTTTTGTATCCAAATCCGGCTTTAAACTTCTCCACAACAGTATTACGGACCTGCCGGGTCTTCATGATGCTCTCTGCGCTTTCAACAGAACCCTGAGTCTATCACAGAGCAGGTGCATTTATACAGAGACTTGATTACACACAGGTGGATTCTATTTATCACCATCAGTCATTTAGGACAACATTGGATCATTCAGAGATCCTCGCTGAACTTCTGGAGTGAGTTTGCTGCACTGAAAGTAAAGCGGGCCGAATAATTTTGCACGCACCACTTTTCAGTTTTTTATTTGCTAAAAAAGTTTAAAATATCCAATAGATTTCGTTCCACTTCACAATTGTGTCCCACTTGTTGGTGATTCTTCACAAAAAAAGAAAATTTTATATCTTTATGTTTGAAGCCTGAAATGTGGCAAAAGGTTGAAAAGTTCAAGGATATAAAAAAGTTCAAAGATATAAAATTTTCTTTTTTACCTGAAATTTTCTTTCTTAACATTACCTGAAGCTGCTGGCCTGTGTCTACATGATTTTAATTCAGACCCTTTGCTCTTAAAATGTTCTCATCTAAAGGGGTGAATGTAGATGAAAAAGCCTTGAGTGAAGTTATTCTTGACTTGACTGGCAGCATAAAAGAAGAATGTGTTTCAATATGTGTGTGTGTCTGTGTGTGTGTGTGTGTGTGTGTGTGTGTGTGTGTGTGTTTGTGTGTGATCACTTACAGGATAGAAGACAAAAGATCGAAGAAGTGCAGAGCAGACCTCTCCCTCGTCCTGCAGAGCCTCTTCCAACTCCACATGTAACAACACGGACACACATACACAAACACACACACACGCACCGCACACACACACACACACACACACACACACACACACACACACACACACACAACCTATTTCCATAATCATGTCTTGTTATAAAGTAACCATTTGCCTCTATTTTTTTTTTTATATATATTAAACTTTCTGAGTACCTAAACAGTAACCTCTAGAGATGTTTGTGCATGGAAATCACAGGAGATCAGCAGTTAGAGAAATACTCAAACCAGCCAGTCTGCACCAACAATCATGCCACAGTCCAAATCACTGAGATCAGATTTTTTCCCCTATTCTGATGGTTGATATGAACATTACCCAAAGTTGCTGGCCTGTATCAGCATGATTTTATGCATTGCACTGCATTGCAGCCACACAATTGGCTGATTAGATAATTGCATGAATAAGTGGGTGATTGTTTTCTGAAGTGTTTTATTCCTCTTATACCACAGCATTAAAAATACTTACAGCTTTACCTCTGACAGTAACAAAGCACTGACATTAGAGACTCCTTCCATTTCCTCACAGAAATGTAACCATATCAACTATTATACAAGTTTTCAGTTTGTTTATATTGAGTGTCCTCCATAAAAGTTGCTACTGTAGATATAATAATGCATTAAAGAAAATTCAAGCATGAAGATTTAACAAGGATTTAGGGACAGAATCTTAAGACTGTTAGAATTTTATTTGTTGTTATAGCCATATTTACTTCATCACTCCACTGCAAGTTGTTAAAATTATAGCCAAGGTATTTTATTTATTTTATATATTTTAGACTAAACCTGGAATCATTTTATATGACCCAACAACACAGTGCAACATGTTTAGAGAAACTGTAGCAGAACATTTAAACATATCTATTTTAAATGCATATAATCTTTTCCACTTGAATGTATATATGTGTGTGTGTGTTGTCATAGAGCTATTTCACATTTCCCTATACTGTGATAACAAGAATAGTGTGAATCTCAGAACAGTCTTCAATAAGGGTGTAGCTGAACCAATAGAGTGTGATGCTTATCATGTCTCAATGGTCTCTAATTATATTTACACAAAAACTCTTATATTTCAGAACCACTTAAATGCTGCTTCAGATCCCTGGCTGGTTCCTCAGGTACTGTTGCTTTAAATTATTCTAATCCAAAAGGTTTAGTGTAGACAGTGAAGTTATTCTTGACTTGACTGGAAGTGTAAAAGATGAATGTGTTTCAGTATATGTGTGTGTGTGTGTGTGTGTGTGTGTGTGTGGTCACTTACAGGAGAGAAGAACTCCACAGGTAACAGTACACACACCCACACACACACACACACACACACACACACACACACACACACACACACACACACACACACACACACACACACCCTCTCTCTCTCATTTCCAGAAGTATCTCTTGTTAAAGTAACCCTGCAATTAATTCCATTATATAGTTACCATTTGCGTTCAATCTGCGCATTATTAATTATTAATTACATTTACAATTTATTACGCAAGATCTTAGTCTATCATATGTGGAATTCTGATCAACGAATAATAAGCAAATGATTAAATGAAGCCAGAGAACCTGTGTGTTAAGCTATCCAACTAGTTCACTTAGCTAATGTAACTTACTAATGGGTTTGTTGTAATACATACCATATTTCACAGGTTTGGGTAATGTTTGATATATTTTTGGGATATGACAACTCAAATTGCAGACCTGCATGCAAACTAGCACTCAGAAATATGCAAAAAGAGCAGTTTTTTTCCCTCACTTAAAATAACACACAAGCCAATAGACATGTGAATCTGGAATGACTGTTAGTTTTATAGGTGTTTAGAAGTTTCCAATATTAACTGACACTCCTGGAAGCCCCGCCCACTTCCCGCCATCTTTCATTAGTAATTTCTTGTCTCACTTTAAAGATGTGTCCCTGCTTTCTGTTAGGATAAATGAAGAATGTTTTGAGTTCTATCCATCCATCCATTTTCTGTACCACTTATCCTACACAGGGTCACAGGGAGCCTGGATCCTATCTCAGGGAACTCAGGGCATGAGGTGGGGGACACCCTGGATGGGGTGCCAACCCATCACATCACATAGTCGTACAACGACTCGTCAAATCTAACACTGTACAAATAATGTAAATGTTAATGATAAAAAGGCAGTGGTTGCTCATTGGTCAAGATGTTAGACTACTGATTGGAAGATCATGAGTTCAAACCCCAACACTGCCAAGCTGCCATTGTTGGGCCCTTGAGCAAGGTTCTTAACACTCAACTGTTTAGATGTATAAATATAAATCACTCTGGATAAGGGCGTCTGCCAGATGCTCATACAAATTGTCATATCATGATTATTAAACATTAATTATTTTGTTTATTTTATGTAATAGAATAGGTTAACATGCTTTAATGTTCCAAAAACACATTATGTGTCACATAATGAAACACTCTGATTTCTCCAAAGCCCCTCATTCCGAAAATCCCAGAGCGCTCTGATTGGCCAGCGGACCCGTTGCGTTGTGATTGGCTAGAAATCTTAAGTATGTGTTGAAAATTTAACGCCACTTGGGTTAGCTTCAGTAGGTTAGCTTCGGTAAGTTTTTATTTTGTAACTCTCTGTAACTAACCTTGGAGATACAATGTAAATTCTAACGCCTGCTGGAAGGCCTAACTATGATATGTACACAGCTTCTGTGTGTACATAGGTACTCGTGCAATATATCTTTGGAAAGCTAAGATTCCCGTGATTCGATTGACATAAACCATTTCAAGATACAATCACTACAGCAGCTACAATAAATGTCTCTGTCAGACCAACAACATACAAACACTGAGGCAACTTTGCAAACTGTAGCTAGCACGTTAGCAGAGGTCTACAACTGAACCCTGGGCCACAACACACAAACTCTGCATTTGAGCAGTCAATAGCAAGTACTTCATAAAATTATCAAACATACATGTTCTGATTCAAAAGCACGATATTGTCTGAGAAATGTTGGAATCGCCCCACTTTTCAGGAGTAGTCTTTGTGTGTAGCCTGCCTTGTTCTCGCCCAGATTAAGGAAGCTGTCCTCTGTAACAAATGTGCTGTGCACAAGCAAGTGTTTGGCTTGTACTGCTCGGGAACAGCGTTATAAATAAACGGTAACCACTGATTCCAAATTTCATCAGTTTTTGAAAGGCTAAACAAAGGGGTTTTGCTTTCGCACCGAAACACACAGCGTCTCCACGACATGGCGCCTGAATTCACCGAAGTCTCGCCTTATTTCTTCGTGGCTGACTTTTGGTAGGATTATGCTGATCTGCAGGTCTGGAGCAATGTTCTCTGTTAGATAAAATAATTCCCTTTTGGGAGACTATGAGCTTTGTGACTTTGCAGATCTTATACATGCACAAACAGATACACATTACAAACCCAAACAACAGGAAAACATTAAAAATCTGGATATGACACCTATTATGATCATTAGAAAGTGATAAAATGGTGACATTATGTCCTATCTTGATGCTCCCTTACCTCAAATTGTTGTATACCATCTCCTTTTTTTTCTTTATTATTGGTCTTTTTTGTTTTGTTTTGTTTTTCCTAGATGTTGTGCCCTCTTGTTGGTCCATCTAACATGTGAACATGAAACCCCGTCCCCCGTTACACAATAAAAATAATAATAATACTAACACTACTATTACTACTGCTACTGCTACTACTAAGGGGAAGAAGAAGAATTAAAGAGTAATTAAATTTTCTCTTCTGCATGTAAACCTTTTTAGCATTTACATCTGAACTAAAATATTTTCCCTCCAAGCACCTGGTGGTTACAGTGAAAACCCAGATGATATGGGAAGGAATCCAATTTGTATATCATGCATATTCGTAGATCCGGTCATGCCTTATAAGGGTCAAAGTGTAGAGATTAGTGATTTACCTATGCCATTTTTAGCAGTTGGATTATATCATTATCATTCGTTATTTACATATTATTTCATTTATTTATTTATAAATATTTATATATTGTTTTCATGTTTACACAAAAACACTTGTATTTCTCCTGATGTCAGATATCTCCTGCAGATTCTAAGTTGGCTGCTCTTAAATCTTCTGTAAGTTTTAGTTTAGATAAATGTTGTTTGAGTGAAGTTATCAGGATGTTCCTATCAGTTTATGTTTGTGTGTGTGTGTGTGTGTGTGTGTGTGCGGTCACTACTGAAGGAGAGAAGACATCAGAGTGAGAGACCATCAGGGCCACCGGGCCCACCTCCTCGTCCTGCAGAGACGCTTCCACCTCCACAGGTGACAATATACACACACACACACACACACACACACACACAAATGGGCTAGTTATTTTAAACCACAGGAGGATATGGGGGTGATTTGCATATAAATCAATAACAAAATTAATCAAATTATATATATATGTGTGTGTGTGTGTGTGTGTGTGTGTGTTTAGATAATTTAGATAATGTATTATATGATATTTGTGCAGGCATCAATGCTGAAGGTTAAGGCACTGTATGACTTCATAGCCGAGGAGCAGGACGAGCTGAACTTCAGGGCTGGCGATATTATAGAAGTTGTGGACCAACCAGAATCCTTCTGGTGGGTGGGTCAGCTACGAGGGAAAACGGGACTCTTTCCCACCAACTACATCACTCCTTTATGAGTGAATACAGTCAGACTCATATGTGTGGCTATTTGTGTTTATTTAATTTATCCCAGGTGTCTTTCTTGAATGTTACTTTTACGCAAAATTCAGAGATTTTGTGTTAGTTGTCCTGCCTTCCAAATAAAATTTCATCATTTTAGACATTCTTATAACCGCAATGTTTCAGAGAATAACACAGCTGACACGTACACACTCGATGACTGTACTGCAACTGTCATTTATTCCTGTTGTCATGTCCCACCTTTATTGATTAACTTTTGAGTGATGTACTCCAATAAAACACAAATAATAGTATTGATTAATCTTTATTTAATTAATATTTCAAACTGAAAAACTTAAAACTTATAATGAAGATCAATATAAAATCCAATAATGTAAACACCTTAATCACACTATTAACGTTGTGTGGGAGTTTTCACGGCATTTTGCGACAGGACATATACTCACATGGCAGTGTACTGTATATGTAACCATTTGACGGCAAAAAGAGAGCACGGCTGCGTCCAAAACCACGTACTTACCTCATATATAGTAAGTGAAATACGCATATTTTGGCTACTATATAGTATGCGCTTTCAGACACAGCCCATGGCTTCAAGCAGTCATCTATTTGCACGTATAGCATGACAAATAATTATCTGCACTTGAAGCATTCATGAAATTAAAACTGAAACACCCAAAACTGTATCCGGTACCTTAACGAAGACAAACTGTATTTTGATACTTGAAATTCTGGAAGGAACGTTGGACGGCGTGGCGCGGTGACGTAATGACGTGTGCCATTAATCGATTTATATCCTATAACACGTAAAACAGGAACATGAAAGGAATATTCTAAAAGCAACTCATGTAAACACCTTAATCACAGTATTGTCTTATTCAGTATAAGGTCAGTAATTAGATTACTGCTGTCCATGTAAACATGGTCATTGTTTCTATAGTGACAACTCGTACATAGAGACTTGTATGGCCGAGGCGCCACATACTGTAATCTAAGACTAATAATGAAGGGATAAAAAAACTGTTTTTGTTTAACAACGTAAAACTTATAATCGATGTCGTGACTATTTTGTTAGAAGACATCTATTTAGCACTCATGGAAGCCGCCGTTCTGGATTCCTGTAAAACGACAAGCAGTGTTTTTGAGACTGAGAGAGCGACAGAGAGAGCAGCAGAGAAAGATATTGGTGAGGGAACAATTTTTTGTCACCGCTATAACATACTGTAAGTGTTAACAGGAACTAACTTCTCTCTCGTGCCTTCCACAACATCAAATCTATCTATAAAACGTTAAAATGCACGACGTCTTTCGTTAATAACATTGTACATTGTAATTGTTAGCAAATTGCTGTGATAAAAGCAGAATAACACACTGCAGGCCGTGCAGTTTTATGGAAATAATCCAAACAGTTGATGTGGCCAGTAAGCAAAGTGCCATTACCAACCCGAGGTAGATTATTTTATATATATACATGTGGTTGAGATACGCCCATCAGCCATAACATTGAAAGCACCTGCCTAATATTGTGTAGGTCCACCTTGTGCCGCCAAAACAGCTCTGACCCATCGAGGCATGGACTCCAAAAGACGACAAGCTTTGCTGTGGTATCTGGCACCGAGACGTTACAGCAGATCCTTTAAATCTTGTAAATAGTGATGTGGGGCCTCCATTGATCGGACTTATTTGTTGAGCACACAGATGCTCGATTGGATTGTGATAGTCAACACCTTGAACTCAGTGTGCAATATCCTGCCGAAAGTCTACGCTTGCCCATTTTTCCTGCTTCCATCTTCCATCAATTTCAAGAACTGACTGTTAACTTACTGCCTAATATATCTCACCCCTTGACAGGTGCCTAGTCATGAGATAATCAATGTACTTCTCCTGTCAGTGGTTTTACTGTTATGTCTGATTGGTGTACATACAAAAGAGAAACGTATTTCAGCTCAGGAATCTCCCTCCTCCTTTCTCCTCAAAACCTGTGTGTGTGTGTGTGTGTGTGTGTGTGTGTATGTATATATATATATATATATATTGTGTATATATATATATATATATATATATATATATATATATGTATATATATATATATATATATATATATATATATGTATATGTGTGTGTGTGTGTGTGTGTGTGTGTGTGTGTGTGTGTGTGTGTGTGTGTGTGTGTGTATACATATTTCTGGTTAAAGATGAAGGGATTTTGATTGACCAATCAGTGTGGAATGTTTGGCGTGTTCATTAATCCACTCCCACTTGTGCGCTCACCTTTGGCGCGTGAACAAAGGTGAGCTCCACTACGCTACTTTCGCGCTCGTGAGATCTTGTGAGTTAAAGTTAGTGTCAAGAAAAGAGAAGAGAGGAGAAGAGAAGAGAAGGTCTCCGGTTTATGAGAGACCGAGAGCAGCCATGGCTGAGTCCCAGCTAGAGTGCATGGAAGACGGCCGGATTGGTGAGAACATCCCCGACTCCAGGCCGGAGTTTTATTACAGCGAGACGCATCGCGTGGCGCTCGAGGAACTGCTGAGGAACGGAGACGGTGCGTTCAAGACGTGCCTGGATAAG